CTGGCTAGTTATGCCCAAAGAAAGTACTGAATTCACCTGCAGAATTAGGTGCTTTACCAAGAAGAAGCAGCTTAGAGAAATCAGAAAAATCAGTCCTATGATGAGATATAAAATGAATATAATAACTTTTATTTCTGAAACTTTTCTACATTAAGTTGTGTAGAGCTAAAATTTAGTTTCAAGCACCAGGAGTTAAGAGTGTGGTTGGTTCTGTAGGATCATTATTCAAGGATGTGCCTAGACCCTGCTAGAGTGGCTGAAGCTGGCAGGAAAAGGCCCAGAGCCAGGATTTATCACCCTAGGGTGTACTCCATAATGGTTCCATGTGGGAGCCCATAATTGGGTTAACAAATTTTAAAAGACCCCAGCCGCCTGTCAACTTTAAGAAGAAAAAAATATGCTTAGTAACTGCTTTGCAAGCAGGGGCCTGTGCATCCTCACCCCTGTCTCCTTGCATTAAAAAGCAGAGACAATGCTTCACTTGCTTATTTGGTGTTTTAGATAGCACTCTGCTCATTGCAAAGCAATGGCCCAGACCCTCAGGTATAAACGCTGGGCTTGTGTGCAGTTAGATAATCTATTATCCCCAAAAGAAGGACCTAGCTGGTCTGGTGGTCTGCTTTGTAATTCACGTATGTAAAGAATGTATCTTATTCCCCTCACTCCATGACTTCCCTAAAGATACACTAAGCCTTAGTACTCAAGGTGGATTCTACAATCTCTGCCTCATACAGACTTTGCCAAAGTTCCTGCTTACTATCACACAACTGTTAATGACTTTTTCCTTTGATTATACACAATAAATATGGGAGCATTTGAGAGGCTCGTGGAGTTGGCTCCCTACTCCCTCTCGCTTTCTTGACTTTTTCCACAGAGTCTTGAGTAATCATTCCCTGTAGGTAAGACTTCTGCTAGCCAGAACATACAGTTCCAGGTGAGAAGAATGCAGGCTTTATCTCTCCTACCCAAGGGAGAGAGCGTAGATAATTGAGATCTGCTCCTCCATGGTCCCTTCCTGCCCCAGGGCACTCCAGTTCACCTGCAGTGTTCTGGCCTCTGCTCACAGGGCCTCTGTCCCCAGGACTGAAGGCAGCCTTTTCTTCCCTTGTCAACATTTCCTGTGCCTTTTAGAAGTTGGTCTCTTCTCTGCAATACAACCCTGGCAGATATGATGGTGGTAAGCGTGCTGGTGGGCAGTCACTTGGGGACTGCCAGGAGACATGCTGATTCTCCTGAGTCTCTCATTCGGCATTACAGAACTGTCGAGCACTGGAGGAAGCCCATTCATGCGAGGTCAACGGAGCATTGCATCACTTTCTTTTTATTTTTGAATTTTCAGTGGAGAAATTATTTGTAGCTAACTGTTCCAGATTTTCGGCTGCCTGCTTTCCTCACCACCATTTCCTTGTTGGCTCTGGTGCTTGTTTTAAGAACCAGGTTTCGTCTCTGGTCATTTCTTGCAGCTGGGCTTGATAAATCTTTGATCTGCATTTGAAGCAGAATGCTTCTTCGTGATGTCAAGCTGATTTTCCTATTTGTGAATATTTCGTGTACACTCAGCAACTGTTTCAAGTGAAATGCTCTTGTCCAATTTCAGTTAACCCACATTTGCTGATCTCCTGCTTTCATGCTGAGGGCAGTTTCTTTTTCCTGTAATAAAAGTTAGCAGTTTGCATTTACTATTTGAAGGTACTGGCCGTAGGTGTTTTTGTCCTTAACAGTTTTAATACAATTCACCCTTTAAAATGTACAGCGGTTTTTACTCTATACCTAGAATTGTGCATTGCAGTCAATCTTAGAATATTTTCATCCCCCAACAGGAAGCCCCGTATGCACAAGCAGTCATTCCCGTCTTCCCCATTCTCCCCCAGCCCCAGGCAGCCACTATTCTCTCCCTATGGATTTGCCTGTGCTGGATATTTCATGAAAAACGAGTCATTTCATGTAAATGGAACCGATTATTATGACTGACTTCTTTCACACTGAGTAACGTTTTCAAAGTTTGTCCACGTTGTGGCCTGGGTCAGTACTCTATGCTTTGCTATTGCTGAATTATATTCTACTGTATGGCTGGGCCCCACTGTTTATCCATTCATCAGGTGATAGGCATTTGTATTGTTTCTGCTTTTTGGCTGTGATGAGTAATGGCACCGTGAATATTCCTGTAGGAGTTTTTATGTGGACATTTGTTTCAGTTCTCTTCCGTGTGTGACCAGACAGCAGAAATGCTGGGTCATTCATAAACCAAATGTTCAACTCTCTGAGGTCCTACCAGGCTGTTTTCCAAAGTGGCCACGCAGCGTTACATCCTCACCAGTAAGGGCTGTGAGCTCCACTTCCTCTGTGTCCTCATTAGTGCTTGTTACTCTGTTTTTTATTATAACCTATTGTAGTGAGTGTGAAGTGGTTTCTCCTAGTGGTTTTGACTTTATTTCCTTTAAAGCGAAAGATATTGAACATCGTTTGATTGTGCTTATTGGCCATTTGTATATTTTCTCTGAAAAATACATTTTCAGATCATTTATTCACTTTTTAATTGAGTTCCTTTTTATTGTTGAATTTTAGGAGTTTTTCTTTTATTTGAAGATACAAATTCCTAATCAGATAAATCATTTGAAAAAATTTTCTCCTGTCTGTTGTTTTTTCACTTTCTAGATGGTGTCCTTTGAAGCAAAGTTTTACATTTTGATGAATCCCAATTAATCACTGTTTTCTTTGTTCCTTGTGCTTTTGCGGTGATATTTAAAATCTGAGGTATTTTATTTAAACTTTTATATATAAAATAACTTAATTCTTAGGACCGTTCTAGGAGACGGGTGCTGTTGTTGTCCCCAGTCTATGGATAGGAGACTGAGGTGCAGAAAATTTCACTGACATATCAGTGTCACAGCTACCCAGTGCTGTGGGACTTCAGACCCTCATGTTTGTCCCCAGCATCTGTGCTCTTCCCCACCATGATCCACTCCTTCCTGGAATCGTTAATGAAAAAGTCTTTCCTTTTTTGATTTCTTGTTAGTTTGTTTTCTCATTGGGGACCTCATCTCCTCATTTTCCTTGCAGAGATCAGTGTAGGTTTATTTTAGGTCTCATGTAGGCAGAAGCAGTGCTATCAGTTTACTTCTTTATTACTCACTCTCGAGTGATGATTGTTGCTAGTTGACCTAATCAATTCATGCTTAAGTCTTTCCTGCTCATGACACTAAAAACAGAGTCATGACTTACAGAATGCTCAAAGAAGAAAGTACTTGAGTGAGTTTATTTTTCTAACCAACCAAACCAATCAAATAAAAAACCCGGTGTTGGCACAGATTCTAAGCCCTCCAGAATAGGGTCATTGTCTTCCTTGTGTTTCATTTGTTTGGTCACAGTGTCTGGATAGTGCCTTGCTGTCCAGCAGTTTTGTTAGGATACGGTGCTCGTGAATCATTGTAAGGACAGAATTTTGACAACAGACTGTGTTGTTCATTTCACGAGGGAAAAGATCATATAGAAATACTGCTCAGATCTATTTTAAAATTATGCTTGGAATTTTGAGAAGAGTTCAAGAAACCATACAAAGCTCTTTTTCACTAATTTTAGATCTATCTTAGACACATTATGTTTACATAGCAGAGTAACTTATCAACTAGATTTGACAAGAGGTGTGTATTATTGATTATTTGTTTTAGTTGAAATATTCTACCTGGGATAAAGTAATCAGTGCCCATAAATGAACAACTATGTTTGTATTTCTATGCAACATGGGAGCAGACTCCATATGTTTCTATATAATATATATGACTGTGTGTTTTAATCTGCCTGTCAGTGTTTTTTATAGTTTTTCAGCAATGTTGTAACTTTAGAATTCTAAGAAAATCACCCACGATTCTAGTACAGTTTGTACTGTGTATCCTGTCTTATGCATGGGATTCCACTGCCCCCTCAATGAGGAATTTCCTCTCCTATTGAGTTAGTAGCAGAGTTACAGGAACTGTGATTTCTAGGCCTTAGCTCTCCATTTGTTTGCAGTTGGCTGTCAACCACGATTTTCCCTTTCTTGAGTTTTCATTGTTCAATTAGAATTTTTGAAAATAACTATTAATATGTTGCATTGGTCTCCCTAGAAGCTTGATGTGTTTGTACTTTTCAGTTTTCAATTTATGAAAAATGTAAATGCACTCTTGTTTTTAAGTAGTCATTTCTCACTAGATATTTGTTTAACCCTTTATGGTTAAAATATTTTTTCCCAATGAATGAATCGGTGTGCATGTTTTAAAAGATACCTTACTTTTTATTTTTCTTATTGTAACAGTTATATTCATTGTGGAGAATTTTGAAAATAAGCATAAACACAATAATAACTTAAAAATGGCCTCTAACTTCACCTGGAGATACAGTGGTAAGGTTTGAAATTGAGAATTACAAGTCCTCTCATCTTGTTCTTCTTTTTCAAGTACATTTTGGTTACTGAGACCGTCGAATTCCCATATGAATTGTAGCAGCAGCTAGTCAGTTTCTGCAGTGGAGCCTGCTGGGATTGTGATCGAGACCACGTTGTATGTATGGATCACTCTGTGGAGCACTGCCATTCCAAGAGTGTTGTCTTTTGATCCACGAAAGTGTGTGGTGTATCTCTCCAGGTATTTAGGTCTTCTTTAATTTTTTTCAACAATGCTTGAGTTTACAGAGCATTATTTTACTTTTTTTTTACCTTTATACTGAGGACAAGTGTGCAAGGTACCGGGATCAGAAGTGTATTTGAGCCCCGCCACTTGCTGCCACCATGGATGCTGCAATCTTGCTTTGCCCTCTGTACAATCTTCCACAAAATAAGACCTCAGTAACTCTCTGTTGAATGAATGATAATATGATTGTTGAATGACGCTTGAGTGTCCTTGTGATGATGTCTTTTTCCCAGCCTTTCCCCTCTTCTTAACTATGCCCTTTCTCTTCCTTTCCTCCAGCCTGGCTTTCAGCCTGCCTGTAGCATTGATTTTCCCTGTCTGTAGACTCTTCCTTTCACTGGTTCACGATAATGTTACACATGGGCTGTGGAAACTTGCTAGATGTCAAGAAAGAGCAAATCCATTGCATGCTAGTATTTTTAGAGTGTGTTATTCTTTTATCGATTGAAATTAAATCAGGCTGACCCCCTGAGCCCTCCCATGAGCTCTTTCTGCCTTCCTACTTGTGATACTGCTCTTGTTGCTGCATGTGCCCTGCACCCAGCCTTGGTTTTGGGGTTGAGAATGTCACCATCAGTGGAGCCCATTCTTTAAAAGATGAAGAGAACATTTGCTCCTTCTCCCTCGTTGGGGACTTGGATGAGATGAGGTACCAGATAAAGAATGGAGCCCCTCCTCATTCTGACCCCTGCTCTTTCCGTTCCTTTCTCCAGGGGACAAGAGTACAATTCAAAAGTATAAAGATTGATTGTGAGCTAATGAGATAGACAAGACAACCGAACATTTATTAAATATCCTTTCATGCCGGAAACAAATGTATTATACACACAAAAAGCACATAAAGCACGGTAGCACTGTGGTTACAAACATGGGTCCGAGTTTGAGTCCTGCTCTGGAGTGACCAGTCCTGTGAGATGGAGAACTGGTAGGTAGGCTTAGCCTCTCCCGGACTTGTTTTCTGTCCTGCAGAGACGGGGCTCGCTAGGCATCCCTCCCCCGTAGAGGTGCTGTGGGGTGTAAATGACGCACATGGGCAGCCCGAGCACAGCTGCTCGTTCCTCATGAGTGCAGGATAGAATGGATTTGCGGAGACGGCTTTATGACTGCCCCGTGTAGACTCTCAGTGCTCCAAATGGATGCCTTGTGATTTGGAGATGGGATTCTCACTTCTGTAAATACCCAATGATTGTGTTATTGGGCCCTGCTTATTTGAGTGTGTTCTTTAGAAAGTACATATTGTAGATATATTTTTCAAGTATGTGTGCTTTTTTCTTTTATTGTTTATAGTTCTACCCTCTCATCTCTTGGTGTGACTTTTCATGGAATCCAGGAAACAGCCCTAAGTTACCTGCCTCTTCACACTTCTCCGTGTTGGTTTTCTTCCCTGACTAGAAGAGGGTTTTGCATAGGATATTTTCTTTATTCCCCTTTTCTTGGAGTCTCTCTGTCTGTCTGCCCATCTCTCACCTGCCCATCTGTCCATTTCTCTACCCACTCATTCTTCTGACTTGTTCCAAGAAGCATTTCAGGCAGCTTACAGAAGAACAGATACCAAATAAACAGGTGAGAAAATGGGGCCATGTTCAGACAATGAGGCTAGGAGGTGAGCCTGTGTGAGTTTTGCCAGCATGAGACACACGCCTCTGCCCTGTTACTTATAAGATGGAGAGCAAGATTGTGCCTGAGGCTCCCACCGGACACAGGGAAACAGGGTTTGTGGGAGATGCTCAGTGGCTGTGAAATAAATAACTGGCTTAGGAGAAGCCTAGCCTTTCCAGCTAGTAAGGCTTAGGAGAATATTTTGAATGTCTTCCAAAACCAGAATATTTCATCTTTTATTTTGTCAGAGTTCTACATATAGTTGGTTACATTCTATACCTGGAAATGTCTCCAAAACTCCTTCCCACGTGAGTTCCATGGCTCGGGAATAGGGTGGTTCTGCTCATTGACGGTGTTTGGACAGAAACATAAAATGACAGCCTCCAAGGAGCCTGGGATTTGTCAGTTATGTTTTGTCAGTGCTGTAGATTTCAGAGAATGTTTTCACAGTTCCTTTCCATCTGAGGCAGCAGCGTGCTCTTTTAGCAGCATCAGAAGCTCTGTGCCACGGGATGGTGGGGGCTGACTGCACTGCCGTCAATACATCTAAGGTAGTCACTACAGGCGTGGTGCTTTTACGTAGTGCATTTCATATTCTTTAATAGAAGGCTTCAACAGGGAGTTAATTAACTGAGTTAATTAACATTTAATAAATATGATGCTTTGTTGAATAGACAGTTATAGGCAGAATATAAGCTGTGAAGATTTTAAGAACGGCTTCATTACTGAAATTTCAGTAGGGAAGATTCACAGTTTATCTTATTTATGCCTCTTTTTTAAAGTAACAAAGAAACAAGACAGAAAAAGCAGAGGATGATTTCTGTTCTTCCTTTCGGCTTGCAGGTGCCCTCACCTCTATTGGCATCCATCCAGACACCAGCACTGACACTGGCCGTGCTCAGAAGTGCCTCAGCCCTGAAGACACAACTGACAAATAGAAGGGGGCCACGTCCTGTCACAGCAGGTGCTCTCACTTTGTGGGTTCTTATGTAACTGCGAGGTGTTAATCAGGATCGCCCGTTCCACATTGCGTGATGGTGCTGCGGTGTCTCCTACTTACTTGTTTCTGTAAGTACTCATGTATTTTCCCCAATGTGTGGTACTACATATCTTAAAATGCTTTTTTCAGATGAAAAATAATGTGTATTTAATAAAATAAGTCTGAAAAAATTGACAAAAGAGGCTATCCTGGTCCCACTACTCAGAGATAATAATTAACACTTTAACATCTATTTTCTGTCCTTTTCGTCAGTGTGTATCACCTCTGTCATAAAAACCAGCGAGCATTCTGTGCCTGTTTATTGTGTGGAGACCTCCATTTTCCATTTGGCTTTTTATATGTTTTTCTACAATATTTTAACTCCCCTGGCATGATTTTTAATGACCAGTAGAGCATTCTGTCTTGTGGAGGCATCGTCCATTGTACTTCGGACTTAAACTTTTTAATTCCAAGTATATTTTACTGAAATACTGAAAAGAGAACTGTGGTGGTACCAATAGGCCCCTACATCCCATTCCCTTATTTCCTGAAGGTAAAAGCTGTTGACAATGTGGTGTATATATTTCATGACATTTATGACTTTGACATAAATATATATACACATACATACATAGAAACATACACGAATCTGAGAAATCTATGTATATATGTGTGTATATATACTTTATTGAAAAATAAGGCCATACTATATGTTTTCTGCAGCTCACTTTATTCACTCAGGGATATATCATAGACGTCCTCCCACTCCAGACTCACCCGGTCCTTTCACATAGAGTGGAGGGGTCCCCTGATGTGCAGGTGTGGTCCCTTGTGCAAGGACAATTTGGTGGGAGAGTGCCGTGGACAAGGCCCTGGACCATGCCGAAACGCCGGCCCCATCAGAGCCCACAGCTCGCCGTGATTTACCGCATCGTTGTCTTGATGGTGGACACTTAAGTTTTCTCCAATTTCCACTGTCAGAAAAGATGTTTGACTGGCATCCTTCTTCTGCAAATATTCCTGTGATCTCATATGAGTATTCCTTTAGTTAAGGCTTCTGGAAATTTAGTCCCTGGATGTGACATTTACATTCATCACAGGCTCTTTTCAAGTGACTCTAGAAATTCCTTCTCAAGTGGGGAATGAAAAGATGTAGAATTACTTATGTAACCATTTCTCTATCGCTGGATATGATTTCACTTTAGCTTTTCTTCCCACCTTTGTAAACACTGCTGTGAAAATATCCTGATGAGTACATCTTTTTGAAATGATTTTTTTTCTAAACGAAGCGATTGCTAGAAGTGGAGTTGAGTCTGTGTGTACACACGTTTTTCAGAGTTTACATATCCATTGACATGTCGTCCTGCAAACACGTCGCTCACAGTTTGTTCTCTCACAGATGGACACTAGCTAGAATATCTTTTAAAAATATTTGCCAATATGATGAGCAAAAGTACTTTTTCATTGTTTTAGTTTGCATTTGATGACGTGAGGTATTCAGCATTTTTCACTTATTAGCCATCTGACTTGTAAAAAGTGAATGATCCCTTTTGTCCTTTGCACATATTTAAGTGAGGGAGCTTCTTGTTGCTTTGTGACAGCTCTTTGTATGTTATGAACATTAACCCCTTGTCTTCATCAACATGTACCACGCAGCTTTTTCTTGTCATTTCTTGCCTTTCATTTTGTTCAGTAGGTTTACTTTTGTTGTGGCCCAAAATATACTTAAGATAGTAAATGTCTTCTTTTTGGGTTTTATTTTTGGTATTATTCTTAGAGATAATTTCTTATAATGGTACAAATCTCTTCTGTAGGTTTTGTAATCTCTAAGGTGGAGATGCTAATAGTGCTTGTTATATTGAGAGGAAGTTGAATTAATATGAGCAAAGAGTTGTATTTGCTGTTGTTAGTACTTTCTAATATTTACGTCACTATCTGTAATTTTTCTTGTGGTCATTATGACAGGAATAGAATTTGTTCTTTCCAGGGGATTCTCTGATCATCCCAGAACAATTATTGACTTCATACTTTGCTGTTTGATTTGAAATCCCACGTGTACAAAATACTTATGTACACTAGAGTCTCTTTTTGAGCTCATGGTTTATTTCTGTCAATTTAACTTTCTTACTCCAGCACCATATCTTACATATTGTAAAAATTTATTTAATATATGACAGTGCAATATTTTTTGATTCTTTTCTTCCATCCCAAATTTTCTGGCTAGAATTATGTCTTTATTATTCCTGAAGAATTCTAAAATACTTTGTTCAAGTTAAAAAAAAACCGATAAGGGTTTTCATAGGATTTTTTAGTAAGTTTTGAATTATCTTTAGCAGAACTTTCATCTTTACAAAACTGCATTCCTCCATGCAATATGTCGATGTCTCTACATTCACATCTCTTACTTTACCCCTCAGTACAGTCCTGTAGTTTCTCCATGAAGAACATGGGAATTATTTTTGAGTTTATTCCAGATTATTGTTTATGTTTTAGTTAATTTTGTAAGTGAGAATTTTTTGCTATTATATTTTTAACTGTTTAAAATGACACCTAGGAAGGCAGAATTTGTTTGTAAATACTCACTTTGTAACTTGTCATTTAAAATTGTAAGTGTTAAATACTTGTTCCAGAATCCTTTCTTTTCTGTTTTTCAAAATTTGTTTCCAAGATTATCAAAATGGTCATAGCTAAGTAGTATAGGTGGGGAGACAGATGGAGAGAGGTATTGTGACTCATGTACAAACTGTGAGCAGTTTCATGGCTGCCTTTAGGCTGGAGAGGCCTCAGAAGAGCCCAGATAAGACCAGGGATGGCTTTGTATGCACTTGAAAGCCAGCTTTCCTGCCTTTATGGTGAAGCCTGGTGGGTGTGGCAGGTAGATGAACAAGGTCCGATGGAGGTCATTGGCTGCACAGAGCGCTGTGTCTGTGAGAAGTGGAGACCAGTGCCATGGGAAATCCTTGGTGCCAGGAACACTGCAGGGGAGCTGGGGAGCCTGTGTGTTAAGGATTTTCCAGTCCTGGGAGTGGGAAGAGCAGACTCTGCATTCAAATCTGAGTTTGAATTCATCCTCTCTTTTTTAATGGTCCTCTGGCTTTTGTCAAGTTATATACCCTCTTTGAACTCCTGGTTTCTTGTCTCTCAAAATAGGAGAATTACGGCCTGCTGCTAGAGTGTTTGATCAGGGTAAATGATTTGTGTCTGTAACATGCCACGTACAGTCACAAGCTCAGTGAGAACTGGGCTGTCGCCTCTTCTTCTGCAACTCAGTGCTCGACAAGACATCGGGGGAAAGCCAGTCCCTAATTTGTGTGTGATGCAAGTGGGAACAAAATGTGTTGCCTATCACTAGCAGTATTCTTACTCCTTAGCTTCATTTACTTTTTTCCTCCTTTCCTTTCCCCTTTCCCCTCCTCCACAAAAAGAACCTGAGGCTGTCTCAGAACACTAGATTCAAATTACTTTAAAGTTTATCTCATCCTCATGAAATGACAGTAACATAAAAAAATCTTTACACATCCCAGAATTCATTGTATTTGATTTACACACACACGCGCACGCACACACACACACACACACACACACAATCAGTCTACCTCCCACTTACTGAGGGAGAAGGATCACTTATTCTGAGTTTTCATTCACTGACCATGAGAGCAAAGTGTCTTATGCAGATTTTCACCTGGCTTCGTGCATGGTGTTTTTAGTTGGATTTCTGCTTTGTGGCCATAGAATTATTCTCCTAATAGAAGAGAGGAAGTGGAGACATAGACATTCTGCTGAATTATTGGTGTCATCATATTTGAGTTGGGAAGCTCTTAAGACAGCATAGAGTCGTAACTGTTTATGGGTAAGAATCCATGGTAGTGTAACTTGGACAAGAACCTGGATCTTCTGCCATCGTGTCCACGCGGGTGAAGAGGCAACTTGGTGGGGCATGGCAGGGATCCTACTTGCTTGAGTTCCAGGGTCTTGCTAGTTTTCATTGTTCACCTACCTTTAGTTTAGGTCCATGTGGCCTCTCATGGGAAGGTCACTCTGTCCTGATAAATAGAGTTTCTAATCAGCAAAAAGCTCTGTACCTACTCATATTTCCCAGAGTATTTTCTGCTGACCTGCTGACACTTTATATAAATGAGACCTAAGAAACTACTGGATATAAAATCCTTTGTGCTATGGTTAGTCCTCGAGTTCCATAGGAATGGGGTGCTGTCTCAGGCTGTGTAAGGCTAGATCTGGATAAAGATATGGTGATAGGCTGTGCTCTGGACCCTCCACAATCAAATGTGATTTCCACCTTAGTTTTTAGAATCAGGCAGATGAGCTCAAATCTTGCCTTTACCAGTTATTAGCTTAGTGACCTTGGGGAAGAAACTGTACTTATTTGTGTACAAATTTCTTTATATGTAAATAAGTTCAGTATTTATGTTAAAGTTTTTGTTTTAGAATTGAATGAGCTAATATCCTCATTTATACCTAAAATACTGATCGCGTGGTTCTATAATGGTGCCTTGGTTGTTGATTACTAAGGAACTCGGCAGTGAGAAAGGGGGTGGGGGACCCCTGGAATCTAGAGCTTATATTCCAGGATATGCTTGTAAAAGACTGGATGTGCAGTGAATTTTTAGTAAATATCCATTACTTTCCTAATCCGCATTGATTGTGTATATATCTTTATACTAATATATGAACAATTTTTTAATGCAATTTAAATCTTTATGTAGTATTTAAAATATGTAGCTGTAACAATAATACGTGAAATTGCGGGGAGCCACTCATGAACTGAGGACTGCCGAGCACAGAACGGGACGGAAAATCCCAAAGTGCTGGCGTCAGGCTCTGAGATTAATCTAGCAAAGACAATCTCTGTCCAGCCACCACTTTGAATAAGAATGCACCAGGTGTTCTAAAGCTCTAGGAACATCCAGAGCTATTAAGTCACTGATGACCTTAGAACAGAGAGATACAATCAGCATACAAGTTAGTGATCTCAGTTTACTTGAATAATTATCTTAGTTAGTGATCTTGGTATGCGGGAACATTAACTTTAGTGTATGAGTACTATAAACAATGTTAATCTATAGAACAATATACGAGTTAATGAGCCCTAAAACAATACCTATGCCTACGTGCAAGAATGCACAAGGTAGCTAGTTGAAATTGTATAAATTAACTGCTGAAAATAAACTCAAGGTCCATTCTTGGCTTAGCGTCTTGAGGGCTTAGATTGAGACCCTCTCAACCCCATCTTTTAGTCTTGTCTTTCTTTTCTCAGTCCTGCAGCACAGGTTTCTGGACCTGATCGATTGTCGGCCAGCTCCGACATGAAATAAAATGTTTTCACTTTTATTTTCTTTTCAACAACCAAAACAAAATAAACTATAAAAGAAAAAACAGTTTTGAAGGAGTAGAAATAACTTTATTTCCGTAGAATCAATTCCCTATGATAGGTTTTTTGGTTGTGTTGTTAAACAGCATATAAAATTGATAGGTTGTGACATATTGGAAATGAGGGAACAGTGCAGACATACTACCACCAATGCAGTCATTTTGTTACCAAGTCCAAACTCGTTCTACTTGCTGCATGACAGGCCAATAAATCAGGAGATGAGGTGTTGGAGCAAACAATAGTGACTTTATTTGAATAGCTGGCAGACTCAGAAAATGGCATACTGATATCCTGGAGAACCCTCTTCCCCAAGACAGAATTCAGTCTCCTTTTATACTAAAAAGGGTCGGGGGTGTGGTTGGTTGTTGCAAACTTCTTGCTGTATGAATTGTTTGTCCTTGGAATCCTTTGTTCTTGCAGCTGTCCATGTAGGTCA